CTAAAAATTTAATTTTGAAAAAATAATGCCAACTGATATGAACAAAAAAATATTACTACATTATAGTATATATATATATATATATATACATATACATATGGAATGCAGGGAAGTTAATCCCTTTGCTGATAAGTTCAGAAACTTGGTACACATAGAGAATCTTATATTAGGGCTGAATATCCAAGTTGTAGAGGGTTACCTTACATAATGAAAAGTCAGTCCATGCTATGTTTGTTTCTACATTCCTAATAGTTAAGTTGTGTCCTCTAATCCATGTTTTTTTTCAAATTTCTTTAAACAACAACATTCATACTGTGGTTTTATACATAGTTTACAAGTTTTAAAATTTTCACAGTGCATGGGTAAAATTTACTTCAAAGATCACATTAAGAATGGTGTTCCTTTTTGGCACATGGAAAAAAAGGCAAGCTTCTGTAGTCATGCGCAGTGCAATAATACAACTCAAAGAATAAAAAGAACCATGTAAAGACAATTACTTCTATGATAAAAATAAAAATAAAAATAAAAGAATGCTTTTGTAATAAGATACATGTTCAAGGATATTTAGTTATAACAAAAGATACAATACAATGATATCGAAATAATTTGTTAAAATCTCTGGAAGGACAAGTAAAACACAGGAGAAAACTTGCTTGAAAACTAATGTCAAGCACCCAAATATACCTCACTATTACAAATAGGGAAACACACAGTTTGATGATTAAGAATCCTTAATCTCTTTTAATTAGTTAGTTATTGATTTACTTTACAAAGTTACTAATAGTGAATATTGTACGTTCACACACGATTATATTCATGTGGTGCCAGCTCAGCACTACAGGCACTTTGCATGCAAACGTGGACAGAACATGATGGGTACTCGACCTGGCCAATTATATTGTGACGCGTGGCAGGTGCAAATTGGTTAGGGGCGGCAAAGAGAACCTGGGTCGGCACTAGAGGAGATGGGACTGGGTTGAATGGGTCAGATTAGAAGGCAGACCCGTGCACTTTTTCGCATACCCGTTCTGAAATATCTGCTGCTGTTTGTTCCCGGGGTTGGAACAGTTTGGGAACAAACGAGTTCCCACACTGTTCTCTCTTGTACTAATCAAGTCTGAAGTGTTTACTATATATATGTGTGTATATTAGTGTTCGTTAATGTATTTACTGACATGGCTATAAAAATTATAAATTACACCACGCACTTAAAAGCTAATAATACTTGGTTTTTGCAGTCATCATTAAATTTATAAATACTTATTTTTATCAACTATAAATGTATGTTTCACTTTGGATTGTTTATAACTGGTCGGGCACCAATTACTTCAAGCAGGCAAGAGATTCGGTTAATGAAGAATGTTGTTATTATTATGCAAATACGGAAGCAAATTATAATTTGAATAAGATTAATTTTTTTGTATACGCAACTAAAGGTATGTTGAGAAATTAGTAGTAAAATAATTGAAGTTTTTAGATTTTTATAAAATCATAAACTACAAAATGAATAACAATAAAACATATTCTTAACCAGAGAATTTTAGACTTGGAGTTTGTTGGTTAGGATTTAATTGGTATTGACGGTTATCTCTAAAACCAATGTACGTTCTTAAAAAACAAAAATTAGGTGACTATGTATAAAATATTAAAATTAATCAAATGACTTGTAGATTGAAGTTTTTTTTTTAAAAAAATCAAATTTATCTGTCCCTGAAAATAAAAGAATAAAGCAGATGAAGAAGAAGCAAGTACTCCATAAACTAACAAATAAATTGTTTATAGGATTACCACAACCTTCCCATGAGCTTTTTCTGACAACTTTTCAGCAACAACTTCAATAATACCTTGTAAAAAGTCATTCTTGTCCGGTGCAACTTAATCCTTTGTGAAAACTTTTACAAAATTATAATATTCACTCTCTTGCTTAAATTTTCCAGCTACTTTCTGTGTAGCAATATATAGATATCTTATGTGATTCTTGTTGAAATTGTTTGCATTATTATCCATTATTATATTGTAAGTACTGATGTGTCAATTACTCTGGGAGCCAAGCAAGGATCCCATTGCTAATAACACTTGAAAGTTTTAAATTTGATGCTTAATAGATTCTCAACAATTTTATTCCAGGACGAAGTTTATGTTAAAAGCTTCCATTAACAGATGAATGTTAACTTGTGAGTATAATTTTAAAATAAACATCAGAACATAGTCAATGCATTCCATTTTGCACACTGTGTACACAATTAGTGTTTTAAATTTTCATCTTACTTTATATTTTGACAATCTAAAAACGGTTAATTTGAATCTACAAATGTTGTTTCTATACTTTATTTTTTACCACTTTGAAACTTACTATGCATATAATAGGGAACAAAACATATCATTATTAAATTTTTATTGTTAACTGCATTATTAATTAAATTATGAATTTGTTTGAAAGTTCAAATTCTGAAATATAGTTCTTATTTATTTGAGTATTTTTTTCAAACCAAATCAAAATAGAGCAGTGTTGAATATTTTTATATAAAACAGTATTAAATTAAGATGATTGTTAACATTACATTTGCAATTGATATCACTACACCCCACATGACCTCCACACAACTTCAATTGACTAAAAAGCTTGCTTCAATGCTTAGGATGTGGTTTGCAACCCAATATTTAACCCTGATATTGACCCAAAATATAAAAAATTGAAAAATAAGTTTTCATTATATGTTTGGCAGTAATGTATATTGTTTTGATATGTTATGTTATGTTATGTTTTTTATTTTTTATTTTTTATTTATTTTTTGAATCAGCTCGTGGTCTTCTTTTTAACAAAATATTCACTTTCTTCCTTTCAACCACTCCTATCTTTGAGAAAGCAAAAAAAAAAAAAAAAAAACAAAACAAAACAAAACAAACAAAAAAACATGTTTGAATGAAACAATATCAGTTGGGGATGGACCATCGACAATTCTCTAAATTGACATCCTCATCTTCCTACAACACATCATATTGCATGCAATATTTAAAATTCACCAACAGATTACTAATGTTGTTATTTATTGTAATCTTATTACAGATAGTTGCAAACATTTAATGCAATAATATAAATTATCTTATAGAGTTAATTTGATGGTTATATGGAAGTCATGATTCTTTTGTGTGTTAGGTTTTTTTTTATTGAAATACCTGACTTTGATTCTGATGAACAATCAACATTATTTTTTGTTTAAAACTCTGGAAATAAACATGTAAATAGGAGTCAATTTCAGCATGTAGAGTTAATTAAAAAATCAATATGATATTTATTTCCTTTTTTTTTAAACAATGTTTATGTAAATGAAATTGATCATTGCTGAGATTGTCATTATTAGCATCATTAAACAAAAACTTTTGTAATGATATCTGTGTTATCACTTTATTGTTTGGTATGAAATTGATGTGTAAAATGATTGCATTAAATTGCTGATATTTTTAGTGAAACCCATGTACAGAAATGTATCACCTAAATTTAACTACAAGGTTGTAGTTATAGAAAATTGTAATGATGCATACAGAGTCATAACCACATGTGATTTGTACAAAAAGATAATGTCCCCAAGTTCATATTTTATTTAAAATTCATGCCTTGAACATCCTGTCTTTATCTAAAATAGAACCCCTTTCATCAATTGAAATAGGAGAAATTCTATTATAGCTCTAAAATAAAGTGCACCCATCTTTCCGTTCAACACAACCCACTTCCTCATTTGTATAGTTGATTGTGTATCAATGGTAATTGTTGCAACACAATCTTGAACTATATACAAAAAGATTGTGTGGATCGGTTGAATGCATGACTATTTATTTATCTTTATGTATACACAATTGGCAAAGAAAACAAAATAAATTGCATATTTTTCAACAATGTACAAGACCATATATTAGTGGTAATTTGATTGCTCATGTCAGAATAATGAAGTGGCCAACTTGGTCAAGTCAAATAAGTTGAAGCATGAGGGGGGGGGGGGGAAGTTGATGGAGGGGAATGAATAGGTCAACAGATGCCACAGTGTCTGAGAGTTACAGAACCATTGCCCCATTGCCACTTGGGACACTCCCCCCCCCATTCCCTAAGCTCCAAATTAGGGTTAACCTCCACCAGCCTAATACCCCCATCTCCCTCCATGTTCAGTAGATGAAAATAGATTCACATCCATTAAATTCATCCAAAGCAAACCCCTCATCCATTCCAGGGCAAGGCTGGCGTTCACTACCACCCATAATTTTGGGCAATGCTGGGCTGGGCTAAGAGGGAATCAGCAGGCCGGGCTGGACCAGGAGATGGATCTCCATGACCATTGGTGGTGGTGCTGCCTCTGGACAAAACTATCTCCTCATCTCCTTCCTCTTCCACATAACTATCTGGTTCACACTCCTTGGAAATGTTAATATTAAATAAAAGAAAAAAGAAAAAGAAAAAGAAGGAATGAAACACTTCCAACAGTTCCGGTTTTTTCAGCAGACTCAATAAAAAGTTTTATGGAAGGTGAAAAAGTAAAGCTGCAAGAGGGATGAGTTTGGGTCACAGCGCGATAAATTGCATGAGTGCCCTTGCCATAAAAAAGTAAAAGTTTAGGATGGGATGTGCATTGATGGTGGTGGGGTTGTGCAATGAAGGGAAAATCGAATAAAGATTCCGCGGTCACCAGTCCTCTGATGAAGGCGCAATCATGGGACCCCCCCAGGGACCAAACCCATGTCAACCGTATCCACGGAGTAAGGCTCTTGCTTTCTTTGAACTATGAAATGGACTGGGGGGTTAAACAAAAATCTTGTGCCGCCCGCAAGTGGAGGCCGGGATGGTGCCCAATCTAATCAAACATGCTCAATTATATAATAAAGAAAGGGGGGTAGAGTAGGAATTTCTTAAAAGTCACGGGAAAAAGGGATGATGCAAACGGTCGGGCCGGGCCGGGCGGGGTATCTTGCCCGTGATAGTGGGAGAGCATGGAAGGGCGGAGAAGTGACTACGAGGGAACCCCTTGACTTCTCGTCTGCTTCTCTGCGTTTTTCTCTCTTTCTCTTTGTACGCGGCTTTTGTGTTTCCCGGCTAATAATAGCGCTCCCACCACACCTCTTCTCCTGCTTTATCATAGTCATGCGTGCAGTGGAACTCAGTTCCCCTTGCGTTGCTCTGTCACCTCCTTCGCAATTGTGGTGGGGTTGTCAATTACGAGTGCGACCGGATCGAGTAGCGTCGGATTGGGATAGGAAAACTGAGTTTTCTGGGTAAGATCCACTGCCGCGTAATTCTCGAGCGAGACGCGGTGTTGTAACTCGGAGGAGTGCTGTTGGTAAGGTTTAGGCGCAGTGGTAGCAAGGAATTGAGCGCATTCTGAACTCGGACGGTAACTGAGGCTGACTGTGGACGATTTTAAGGAGGATCGGCACGATTGGATAGCAATTGGTGGCATTTGCTTTCGGTGGTTTGAGTTTGCGGTTGTTTTAATCGGTTGTTGGTGAGTGAGGAACGCTGGAGTTGAGTGGCGGTGGTAATAGAGAGGGGAGTGTTGAGTTGTTGTGTGTGTATCGGGGAGTGAGACTCTACGAAGTCGGTTGTTGTCGGTTACGCGGAGAGGAGGAACGCCTCATTTCCCGATTTCGATTGATTTGTTGTCGAGTCGAAGCCAAGGTGCGAAAGATCGAAGAGAGGAAGTGGTGCGCTTCAAGCGCGATTGTATGAGGCACTAGAGGAGGCGCTCATCGCGCGGCTTGCTGCGCGAAATACGAAACGGCCAAATTAAAGTTCCTGTCGTGGGTTCGGAAGAGATTAGTCGAAATGGCCGTCCTCGCAGTCCGAATGGAGGCTCTCCTCTCTCCATTGATGAGTGGGGAGCAGTTTCGCTATGCTTACAACAATGTCGCAGCGCATTCTCACCATCATGTCGTTGCGGTACGTTCACTGTCATTGCTGTCGTTAGTGTATGAATTGTAATGCACTTGTACTTTCTGCGCTCCTCTTGATTAACGATGAAGAGGCGTTGATAGTGACGACGAAGCATCCGTCAATTGTATTTTCTTCTTTTACTCTTTGGATCTCTAAACACGTGCGCCTTGATTGGGTCTGTGCCGGTCAATTCCAACTACCAGCCAAATCTTCACGAGTAGTGATGCTCACGAGTGTGTGTTGTGTTGAGTTAGCATGTTCGCTAAGATCTTGTGAACTTTCGGGTTTGAATTTATCCGTTGGCACGGTTGTGTCTGTTTCTGTGATATCTGCCGTGTCTTCCTTGATTCCTCTGATTCCTTCAATGAAGGCTTTGCGACACTCTGGAAACGACAGACATTTGCGATGCACTAAATCGCTTGTTCCTACACGCCGGCTGTCTGTTTGTACAGGATCTGTTCATCCTAGAATGAGATGTATGCTCATTTGGTTTGTACCTCTGCAGGGACATACTAGCTGTTTAGACTCCGATGTGGAGGATGACGATGATGATGATTTTACGGAAGACCTTGTCCAAGCTTGGAAGTTGTCTATTGGAGCCAATCGCTACGGGTAAGAAATAGTCTGTCTCTGTTCTTCGTGTTCTCATACATCGTGGTTTATCAGTAATGAGTTCTCTCTTATTTTTGCGGTGTATAACTCTGAAGTGAAAGTGCTCATCCTTTATGCATTACCAGGTGTACACACTACAAAAGGAGATGCAAGATCCGTGCTCCGTGCTGCAATGAAGTCTTCGACTGCCGGCATTGTCATAATGAAGCCAAGGTATAGTGTTTCTTTTCTCGTTTTGTGCAGTCGTTGAATATGCTATGTCGTATTATCCACCTGTTAATGAAGCTCACCATTAACTTCTGAAACGTTTGTACTACAGAGTGTTAATGAAACAGACGACAAAAAACGCCACGAGATTGACCGGCACCTCGTTGAAAAGGTACAAGTCAGTCTTCTTTGCCCATCCAGATGTTTTTGGTGTAGCTGGAGATTGTCCAACGTCAGTTCTTCTACACTGACTGCTCTTTTGGGCAGGGTAGACAACTGATATACTTGTTTTGTTTTGTTTTGTTCTTGGTTTCATTTTATATAAAGAATTACACAAAATTACCAAATTTCAACTAGTCTGCGACTGATTATCAGTATCTTATGTTTGCAAACTTGATCGTCTGCAGGTCATCTGTTCATTGTGCGACCATGAGCAAAATGTACAACAAGTATGTGAAAAGTGCGGGGTCTGTATGGGCGAATTCTTCTGCTCGAAGTGCAACTTCTTTGACGATGATGTGAGTTCATAGTCACGTTGATTCAGTTGTTCAATTGTGTTTTGACACTCTCAGTTGCCGTATTCTCTTTCCACCTGTGCAATAATGTATGTCTGTTGTGCAGACCTCGAAGGATCAATATCATTGCGACAAATGTGGGATCTGCAGAACTGGTGGACGTGACAACTTTTTTCATTGTGATCGTTGTGGCTGTTGCTACTCAGTTAAATTACGCGAGGGTCACACCTGTGTTGAGAAGTCTATGCACCAAGACTGTCCAGTTTGCATGGAGGTATACATGCTTCCCGAGTTTGTATTGCAGTAACTTTTAATGCGTCATATTGTTCTTTCTACATCTTTATGTGCGTTAAGCTTATTCCCGGCTGACTCGTTCCCGATAGAGTGGGTAGCTGTTTGGCATGTATGGCCTGTCTGACTGAGCATTTGATGATGCGCAGTACATGTTCGACTCACTGAAGGACATCACAGTTTTAACGTGTGGTCATACTTTGCACCTGGAATGTCTACAAGAGATGCATAGTCATTATAAGTAAGTGTTTCGAGTTGTTTCTTTTTTAAGAAACGTAATCATTTCAGAGTTTGAACCGTTAGCTTGAACTTGATTACACATGTGACAACTGAATTAAGTAAATGTCTTGCAAATGCTTTCCAATATCTAACTCTAGTTTGGCTTTCGCAGGTACAATTGTCCACTTTGCAACAAGTCCGTTTGCGATATGTCATCTGTCTGGAAGGAGATTGACGAAGAGATTGCTGCAACTCAAATGCCAGCAAATGAAATGAGAATGGTGAGTTAGAGTTCATTTTAACTTGCTTGCTTATCTACTCTAGTAGTATTCGTGTGTGCCTGTTGTCAATGCGGATGAAAGATCAGCTGAATAATATTTCTTGTACGCATGTCGTACCTGGGGTCTTGAATCAGTTCAGAGCTACTTGCTTAGTGAAGTCGTGGCACTAACATATTTGCATGTCTGTTCAGGTTTGGGTCTTCTGTAATGATTGTGGTGCCACAAATGAAGTGCAATATCATCATGTTGGACAGAAGTGTGGAACTTGTCCATCTTACAACACTCGTCCCACAGATGCTCCAGCCTCACTTGCCTCATCTAGATCGTAAGTGACGCTTACGCAGACTCTATGATCTCTACCAGGTTCCGAACTTGCTCCGAAACTCTATGGGTAAATCATGTGGCTAGCTTGCAACCCTTCTATTTGCACCTCGAAGAACAGCTTAATCTGAGAGCAACATGAAGTGGTGGGATACCGGCATACAATTTATTGCCTAACAATCAGGCAATCATTTCACCGCATCCCCTTCATATCTAGAGTAGGTTAAACGATTAGTTCGTATCGAGACGGGGATGTTTTGAACTGAGTTTCAGCGATTGCTTAGGGTTTTCAGTCCTCTTGGAAATTTTCATTATATACAATTCATTAGCTACAAATAGTGTAAAAGACTTTGCCATTGACCAAGTTTGTTCTCATTAAATTATTAACTAATGAGAGGTGGAATTGCTGACTGTAATTTGCAGTGAATGCTGCTGACTCCTACACAAAATCCTGATGTAAAAGTGACGGTTTATTTTTAACATAGTTGACATTGCTTGGTAGTTCGACGTATTTAGTGCCAGGTAACCTCACCACCAGTTGCCAATATTTTATATAGTCATGCTTTGCTACCACAATGCCCTTAACCGTTGAATACATCCTAAAACTTCAAACTGATAGTTGTCAACAATCTCCAATCAATTGTGTATTGTAGATATATTGATTGTTTAAATGATGCATTTAGTGTTACTTATCATTAATAGTAATGGCTCATAAATACAGGGTATTGAATAATAAACTCCCTTTCTTTCGTAACAAATAACAAATAGGGTATGTGAAAAACATGTATACAAGACTAATTCACACCAAAAACAAGTGTTTCATATTTTAATACTTAAATTGTTTACAAATATTAAAACACTGCTGTTAAACAATAATTCACTAAGCTTGCTAGAAATGTTTACAGTTATGGTATTGAATGTCATTTGCAAATGTTTAGAGAGGTATCACAACATACAATCACGAAAGTAAATGGAAACAACGAATGAAATGATAAAGTAATGCTTTTGCATGAGCTCTTTTTAAAGTCGGAGGAAATTGCCAATGGGAACCACATGTTCTTAGAACAAAGATATTTTAGTCTTTTCACCAAAGACTTGAATATGATTTCAAAAATAAAAAAAATAGAAAAAATAAAAAAATCATGGTCTTGTACATGCATTCAATCCAAAACATTTTATAAAAATTTCATGTATTTCACAGTTTTGTTCGTGATGTTTAATCATTTGAACTTTCAAGATCCATTGACTTACTATTCTATTACAAAAGTTAGATGATGTACAAAAATGTTTGGATTGTTTTTTAAACTATGTCAATGTCTATACAAGAGTATGAATTTAAGTATGTTATTTATCTTTGATGTAAAATATTTTGTTGCACTGAAGAAACATATCAGACATTTCTAGATTAAAATTTTCAAAACTCATAAATATTTATATTTAATTAATCCGATAGTATATTTCACAAAAGTATCATAATTTCTCAAAACATAATATTTAAAAATAAAATCTTATTGATATTAGGGTGTTTTTCTTTGCTTTGAGAGTAACATTTAAAGCAATGGGGTTCTTAGTAGAAATTGATTGCTAGAAGAGGTTTGTTCTTTTAAATAACATCACAACAATAAAATTTACGTAAAAGAATGTTATGTGCTTTATAGAGAGTAGAAAGCACACAATGGAATCCATAAGATTTGGCTCTTGGTACCAAACTTTGAAATTGGGTCTCTTTCTACTTTTCTCATTTCTCATGACACTCAAATGAGGTAGGAATTGGCTAACAAATTTGATGACATTTTTGAATGAAATCATAGATAGATGGACATATGAAGAAATAGATTAAACATTGGATGGCTGCACACAAACTAATACAACTATATTTAAAATATACAAATATATAAAATAATATGTTTTTATTTTAATTTCAGAAACACATACAATTCTTAAGATTATAATCCAATTATATATTTGAAGTTGAACAGCTCTGTGGCTATGATGGTTATAGATTTGATTGTAGGCTAGTGTATTACTTCATCCGTTTCTAGAGATTACTGACTTGATATTGACTTGATCTTGCAATAGATTTATATCTAAAACAAACGTACACACAGGAAAAATCAAACATTGTTTAAGATAATTTATTACATGCTACTGCATAAGTTCTCAAAAAATGAAAAATGAAGTTGCAAAAATCTTCGCTAATGTTTTCTAAGCTCTTTGATACGGTCAAAAATTAAACAATCAGTAGATTTTAATAAACAATATAAACATTTATTTTAAAGAAGTTCAACTTTTTAAAATTCAAACAAGAAAATTAAAAATATTAGCAAATTTTGCTGAAAATTCTGTAAGATAAAACAATTTAAGTAAGGTTATTTCTTGTGATTGACTTGTAAAATATTATGTAAAATTAAAAAATAAATAATATTAAAAAATGAAATAATCACATTTAGTTTTATTAGAGGTGAAATAAAATATAAAAAATATAAAAAATACCATATTTTTTGAAAGATATTCATATGCCATTTTAAAATTTGATTTAAAATAAATATTTTTTTAATGCTTAAATCTATTGAAGATAATAATACACTCTATTAATTAAATAAGATTATATAATCAATATTATTTTAAAAATAAATATATTGATAATACAAAATACTTTTTACAATTTTGACAATGTCACCACTATATGGTTTCTTGTTCAATGTTCATTACTAATAGCCAGTTTAAGATTATTGCTTATTAATATACACAATAGTTTACTAAGATTATTACTTATGAAGAAACATTATATTTTATGAAGAGATACTTATATGTTAGATCAGGTTTGACGTCTTCAAGTCACAAAAAAGACACTAAAATAGATTGTATTTTATTTATTTACTCTACCACAAAAGATAGATGAATAAATAAATGATTTTATAAAAATAATTAACAAATGTATTTCCTTACAAATTGGAACATTAAAAAACTTCACTGTAACACAACCTACATATTTTGGGATTTTTTATTCAAAAAGTAATACTTTTTGAAAAATATAAAAATAGGATTTGAATGCCAATAATGTCATTTACATACTGACTTTCCTTGTTTATACGCCATAATTATTGTATGTACAATAGAATATTAAATTAACCTACCTAAATCTTAAATCAACTCAAAATAACCAACAATCTCTCTCAAAGTGTTCTTAGTAGTTTTTGTAAACACAACAAGAGTTAAGGTTAGAGTTGTAGGTTGCAATTGCCATGACATGTAGAACCAATGTACGCAGTTAAATTCAACTTGAGGACTCTCTCATTGCGGCTGAAAGAGATGATCCAAAAACCAACCATTACAATATATGCTCTCATTTTCAACAAGGGAACTCTTGGTAAAAGATTTTGGGCCTATTTAACATTTAGGTGGGTCAATTTAATATTCCCCTATATACACATGTATCTATATACACACAGATGCACACATACACACACTTTTTCATTAAGTGAAAAGTACAATTCTAAGACTTCACCGAACACATTCACTGCAATGTAAGAAAGGCAAGCAACTATCTGTTGTGAAATGTTCTATTGTCCAACAAACGCAACAACATACGTCACGAATGATAGCAGAGTAAACTTGTCAAGTTGTGTGATAAAACTGAGGATTTGGGGAGAGAAGGAAGGGGACCCACTGAGCAAAAACGGGAGGCCGAACACCACAACCAACACTTTGCAGCGGTAACAACAAAAAGTACCCTGGATTACCGATTGATTCTCCACAATTGCACTTCATAAAGTGCTTTCATAGCTTGACTGTGTGGTGAAGTCCGAGGTGGAGCAGTGACCGCATCTGCCTTCAAGAACCCAACCTCAACCGCGTAGCTTTGCATGCAGCGTGATCCTTGCCAACGTCGTGGTTACAAGGACACAAACTGTTCAGCAATTTCGTGTTCATAGTGCAGTTTTTTTTGTCGGTGATGTTGTAGTTTACAGCAACTCAGAACTGAAGCGAATATATCTGTTCCTTGAATCCAAACAGACGCATGGGCGCCATGGCTCGGTGTGTGTTGTGTGCGCTGCTTCTACTTCAGCTTGTGTTCATCACGTATAGTATTCCTACAGTCTGTGAACCCATAGATTTATCGTGACGTCAATAAGTTGAACTGAACTCAATTTTCACATTAAATGCTAGGCACTACACAGACAGAACTGCAGCGTCAGCAACACATGCATCTATCATTACTGGTGCAATGGCGAATTCTTCAACACCACCGGCGACTTGGCATTCGAATTGGTGACCCTGAGTGGCTCGACTATCCCGGGTATTGCATTTGGCTGTGGCCGCAACCAACAAGGGTCACTTCCCTACACGAACGGCTTTATTGGCATGGTATTAGGGCCGCTCTCGATTCCGTCCCAGCTCAGCTCATCAACAGCCCATGCCTTCTCTTACTCCAAAAACCTCCAGTCCAATCACCTTTGGCTTTTAGAACTTCTGTCCAAAGATCTGTTCATTCCATCTGTTTGTCGTAGCATGCCAGCTCTTCTTACGGTAAAACCATAGTATTTTGTTTGGATTCCTCTACCTTCGTTTGTGTGCTGATACGCTACCCGCAGTGTCACTGTGAGTTTGTTATTCAATGTTATGTTGCCCTCATGAGGCAATTGTGTTCTTTTGTTTATGATTTGTAGTACACTCTTGTTTGAATATGGTATCAAAGCCAACATACCAATCACCAACATACCAATCACGACCAGATTCAGCACCACCCTCTACGTACCAACCCCGTTTCAAACCGTGCGGTCCCAACCATCCCAGAAACGAGTGCTATAACTTTGCGGCGAAGCTGGTCATTTTGAAAGAGAATGCTACATCAAAGCCCATATTGACAGGGCAAATGACTGGAAACGTCGGCTTTTACAAAAACGCCATACTCGTCAGATTGATAGCCAAGCACATCAGGTCGAGACAGAAGAATCAGTACCACCTACAAGTGAAGACTTCTATCAAAACAACAACGTCAATGCGTACCAAGTTGCCTATGCATATTTTTCTCAACTAAAAATTAACTCTGTGGATTCTGGTAGTTCAAAAATGAAGTGGAGTTTGGGCTCCGGGGCCTCCAACCACATCACAGGAAATCAATGTGTCTTCTCCTCCGTGCGCCCATCCACTGGGCTCTGCGTCCGATGTGCACGCGGACATAGCCATCCCGTCACCGCAATCGGTAAGTATCTATGATCTATTCGGCCAGAGAAATAAAGTCTGTAGAAAACATTCTTTTTTTGCTCGACATTGTCAAAAACCTCCACTGCCTCATAACTCCCTTCCCGCCGATCCGATCCCCAAATCTGCGGATTCTTCCAATTCCCTATCCCCGCACATCCCTCTTCCTCCTCCTCAAAGGCCCCATCGACACTGACAACCCCCGGCCCTCTACGATGACTACTATGCTTACGCAAAGTCCTTCGCTGGCATCATGGAAGGAGGGAAAAACATCACTTACTGCGACGCATTGCGCAGCCCGCACTGGCAGCACGCAATGGAATCCGAGATCTAATCCATCCAACAAAACCACACGAGGTCTCTTGTTGCATTACTTCCGAGAAAACATTCCATAACCGCACGTTGGA